TATCAAGGAGAACTATTGCATATTATGGAATTTTCTTACACAGAATGATAATAAGACCACTTCAAACACTTAAATAATTATCACATTGACTGAAAACATGGCTAAATGAGAATATTCAACTCAAAGCGAGATGTTTTTCCTAAAACATGATCTGTGGTCCTCTGCTTGTGTTAAGACAACCTCAGTGCACCTGGAATGAAGTCTTTTCCTCGTCTGCCTGTCAGAAACATAAATAACTTTGAATAGCATGGACCTGGAATCACTCCATCCTTCTGCTCACTGAAATCTGATCCAACGTTCAAATAACATCTCTGCCCCCTTTCAGAAATGTCTCTCCACACGCACCCAGTGAGCCCTGACCCTGCAGCCCTCAGGGTAGGACCTGGGACAGAGATGCCCTCTCCTCTGCCTTTCTTTGTCCCTCTCCACAGCCCTGATCCTGTCCCCCTCTTCTGGATGCTAAACTCATGCAGGGACTGTGTCTTAGCCACCTTCACAACTGCTGCCACTCTAATAAAGTAGCTGCTGCACAGTAAGTATTGCAGAGCCATTTCTACAGTCTGAAATTTTTTATGATTTTAAAAATGCACATGTCAGAATTCCTAGCAGTGCACAGTGAGCCTTATAGTGGCAGTGATTTTCACTTTCCCCTCACTGCAATGCCATTCTTTTTTTTTTTTTTTAGAAAGCTTTTATTTAATAAATAAAAATTTAGTAAGTACAACTTCTGGATTATAGCAGTTCTTACCCCCATACCTACCCTCCCACACCACTCCCTCCCCATCCCATTCTTCATTAAGATTCATATTTAATGGTCTTTATATACAGAAGACCAACTCTACACTAAGTAAAGTTCAACAGTTTGAACCCACACTGACACACAAAGCATAAAGTACTGTTTGAAGACAAGATTTACCATTAATTCTCACAATACAACTCTTTAAGGACAGAGGCCCTACATAAGGAGTAAGTGCACAGTGACTCCTGTTGTTGATTTACCAATTGACAGTCTTACTTATGTCAGTGATCACTGGTGGCTCTTGTTATGAGCTGCCAAGGCTACTGAAGCCTTTTGAGTCCACAAACTCCATCAGTATTTGTACAGGGCCATAACCAAAGTGGAAGTTCTCTCCTCTCTTCAGAGAAAAGTACCACCTTCTTGGGTGGTTGCTTTTTCCACTGGGATCTCACAGAGATCCTTCATGTAGATCATTTTTTGCCACAGTGTCTTGGCTTTCCATGCCTGTGAAACTCTCTTGGGCATTATAGCCAGATCCAAATGCCTTAAGGGCTGATTCGGAGGTCAGAGTGCTGTTTAGGGCATCTGTCATTCTATGAGTCTGCTGTATGGCCAGCTTCCCATGTTGGAATACTCTTTTTATTTCTATCTATTGTTATTACCAGACACTTGGTCTTATTTATGTGGTCACTTGGGCAGTTATTCCTATCTATATGAGCAGTTACACACTTAAAATGATCACTTTAGCATGTAAGATAGCATTAGTTTCACTCAGCTTAATGGGATTGGGAGTCCAATGCAAGTTTTAACTTTACCCTTGGGGGTAAGTCCGTGGGAACATGTGCCAAACTGTGCATCTCTCCCCTCTGTTGTTTCCACTTTTATTTTTTCCCAGGATCTATTTTCAATTGGATTTACACACGTATGAATAATTCTGTGCTAAGTAAATAGTTCAACCAATGGTATTATGTTGAAAAAGAAAATCATAAAAAAAAATACTAAACTCTTCCTCGACACTTAAGACAAGGGCTGCTGAAGTCCTTGCTTCTTGTCATGTCAGTTTTACTTCTACAGGTTTCCTTTTATGTGCTTTGTTAGTTGTCACAGATCAGGGAGAAAATATGGTATTAGTCCCTTTGGGACTGACGATGCCATTCTTATTGAAGACAGTGCATCGTTTCCCCAGGATTTCTGTAAATAAGGAATGCCCTGGGCCACGTTCCCATTCTCCTTTCTTTCTCCCAGGTGAAGGCAGGGAATTTGAAACTTCCCAAGATTGCCTGGGACCTGGCAGAATCCACCACTGTAGGAGAACAGCAGGTGTGGTGGCACGTGCTCTGCAGATCGTGTGAATGGCAACACAAAGCAGAGCCTTCAAGAACAAACTCTACAAACACGTAAGGGTGATCACTTACTTGTATCTATCCTAGTCCAGTTACAAAATGTTACTGGGCTGGGCATTTGTCACAGCAAATAAGCTGCCATTTGCTTGGGACACCATTATCCCATACAGGAGGACCTGGTTTGAGTCCTGCTATTCCACTCTGGTCCAGTTTTTGCTAACACAGGCAGCAGGGGATGGCTCCTGTCATTCAAGTAGGAGACCCAGATTAAGATTTAGACCCCTGTGCCTTCTGCCTGGCCCAGCCCTGGCTGTTGTGGACATTCAGAGAGTGGACAAGCAATGGAAGTGTGCTTTCTCTCTGTGCTTGTCAAATAAAGGGAAAGTTAATTAAAAAAAAAAAAACATTATTTGGGGAATAGTTTCCTCTATGTGAATAAGGTGATTTTATTCTACATCTGATCTTAGCCAGAAGGCCAAGAAGCGATAGGGTGATTTTATTCTATACTTAATGGCTGCATTTAAATGTGGTCTGAGGGGAGGTCTTTATCTTTGTGAAAGATTACGTAGCTGCCGAAGTACTCAGCACACAAAGCACACACAGTTCCATCAACTTTCTGTTCTGTACAACTGGCAGCATTTGAGCTCCCCATGAGCATGAAGAGCAGCAAGAAGAGGCTGTCATGGGTAGGGGGACTTGTCATGTCCTTTGGTTTTCTGGAAGAAGTTAGGACACAGCCATGTAAAGACACAGGAGAAGAGTTCAAAACTCAGAGGAATATTCCTACAATTTTTTTTTTTTTTTTTTTTTTTTTTTGGACAGGCAGAGTTAGAGACAGAGAGAAAGGTCTTCCTTTTCTGTTGGTTCACCCCTAAAATGGCCGCTACGGCTGGCGCGCTGAGGCCAGCGCACTGCACCGATCTGAAGCCAGGTGCCTCCTCCTGGTCTCCCATGTGGGTGCAGGGCCCAAGCACTTGGGCCATCCTCCACTGCACTCCCGGGCCACAGCAGAGAGCTGGACTGGAAGAGGAGCAATCGGGACAGAACCTGGTGCCCCAACCGGGACTAGAACTGGGGTGCTAGTGCCGCAGGCGGAGGATTAGCCTAGTGAGCCGTGGTGCCAGCTCAACAGCTCTTTTAAGACGGAATGGACTGCTTTGGGAAGAAGTGGGTCCCTTGTCACCGAAGACATAGGACCAGCATTTAGAGGGCTGTGATGATTCTTTGAATCTTCATCTAGAAATTTTACACTCTTGAGCTTGTTTACAAGGCACCATAAATTTAGTTCCACGTGAGTAGTGCCGCATATTGGGGTGCTGGTTTGAGTCCCAACTATTCCACTTCTGATCCAGCTTCCTGCTAATAGGCCTGAGAAGGCAGTGGCTGATGGCCCAAATCCTTCCAGATGGAGTTCCTGGCTCCTAGCTTGGGCCTGGCCCAGCCCTGGCTGTTGTGGGCATTTGTGGAGTAGACCAGCAGATGGAAGATCTCTTTCTCACTCTATCTCCCTGCCAATCTATCTTTTGAATATAAAATACATCTTTAAAAAACAACGAAGTATTTAATTTATTTGAAAGAATTACAGGGAGAAAGAGAGAGAGAGAGATTGAGATTCTTCCATCTGCTGGTTCACTTCCCAAATGACCAAAAAAACAGGGCTTGACTAAGCCAAAGCCAGGATGCAGGAGCTTCATCTGGGTCCCCAAGTGGGAGCAAGGGGCCCAAACACTCAGACCAGCTTCTGCTGCTTTCCTAGGCAAATTACCACGAAGCTGGATTGTAAATGGAGCCTCCAGGACTCGAACCAATGCTCATTTGGGATGCCAGCACTGCAGATGGTGGCTCAACCCACTATGTCAAAGTGCCAGATCCAATAAATACACCATTTTAAAAAATGGAAATGTGTATTCAGAGGGAAAAGAAGGTATTATTTTAGACTTCTTTGGAAAAAATTTTATAGAGAAATGGGGTTACTTAATCATCCCCCCAAAAATTTCTTCTAATGTTAATAAAGCTTTTATTTATTTGAGAGGCAGAGTTACAGGCAGAGAGAGGGAGAGACTGAGAGAAAGGGCTTCCATCTGCTGTTTCATTCCCCAAAAGGCTGCAATGGTCAGAGCTGATCCAAAGCCAGGAGCTTCCTCCCAGTCTCCTACGTGGGTACAGGGGCCTAGGCACCTGGGCCATCTTCTACTGCTTTCCCAGGCCACAGCAGAGAGCTGGATCAGAAGAGTTGCAGCCAGGATACAAACTGGTGCCATAAAGGATGCTGGCGCTGCAGACAGAGGCTTAGCTCACTACACCATAGCGCTGTCCCCCTACTTCTAATTTTTAAGAAAACAAGAAAAGTAATTATTTCTTAGCATTTACTGTTGAAATGTCAGTGTAGATCAAATCTCTGGTGACAGAATTGTTTATTTCTGTACATTATCACCCGTGTGAAAGTGCATCTGTGACCATCTTAGAAAAGTCTGCAGGGCCTTTCTGCCTCATTAGAGGCTGTATTTGCTTCCTTGTGTATTATTCTGTACTCAATGTTAGCAATAGTTAGTGCTACTATTTTAGCCAAATGTTATAAGCTCAATCAACATATATGTTCTTTTATATAACTGACTTGCAATAGTATTAAGAAAATCTACATCCTGCTTTGACACCACACCTGGGACTACATTGTGGGCACCCCTGTACCCTGTAGTCTAGGGCCAGGGCAAGGGTTCAGGTGTTGAGGGGCACTGAGGATGTGGTGACTGGAGAGACCTACATACAGCTCCTATTGGGGAACAGGGTCGGACACATCACTCATTTGGTTTCCTCTGAGTTCAGATTGGGCACTTTCAGTTGTCCAGTCAGCCATTTTATTAATTCTTCCCTTTGTCCCCCCTAAGGCTAGAAGGAAGGAAGTTGGAGAAATAACAATCTTTTTAATTTGAAAATGTTATTTATTTATATACATACTTATTTGAAAGGCAGAGTTACAAAGAGAGGGAGAGACAGAGATCTTCATTTGCTGGTTCAATTCCCAAATGGCCACAATAGCTGGGTCTGGGCCATGCTGAACCTAGGAGCCTGGAACTCCATTTGGGTCTCCTGCTGCCTTCCTAGGGGCATTAACAAAGAGCAGGAAAATCAGCAAAAAGCATGAAAAGACACAGCACCAAAGAAAATAATCAGATGGTAAATAAGCCACCTTGGAAAGCTGTTTGACAGCTGCTTGGATACTGGGGTGCAGCCCTATGAGGGACTAGAGTCGGCAGTAAAAGGAATCTACAGTCAATTCCCAGCAAAATTTGGATAAAACTCAAGGCCCTATGCTGAGTGAAAGAAGCCAGTCTCCAAAGAGTAGATGCTGTATGATCCCATTTCTAGGACATTCTAGAAAAAGTCAAAAGTATCATAATGGACAACCTGCCAGTGGTTGACAAGGGTGTAGGGGCTGGGGGAGCATGTGCCTACAAGAGAGCAGTACCGGTAAGTTTTGTGTGGAGATGGAACTGTTCTCCTGAGTGTGGTTACACCAACATATATGTCTCTAAAAATCCCAAGAAAAAGTTGAGAACAGCAACCAGAGGCTGCTGGGCAGTGCCAACCCTGGACTAATGATCTAGTTTGTCTACACGCAGTTCCACCTCCACCCCTTTAACCATGTTTCAGTGAGAGCTTGTGATCCACATTCAGTAGGGCTGGAGAAGAGTAGTTTGGCAATCAGAAGGTGACTCATTCCACCATCTTGACTTTAAACATTAAAATACCCAAAAGAGTGCATTTTGCAAAATAGAATTTCTTTCTGAAATCTTCCACCTCTGGGGCATTCCAGAGGTACATGGCTGGGCTAGTGCATATCAAGCAAACTTGCTCCTCCATTTAAAAATGCATAGAGCAAGACCTGACCTCGACAGTGTTTGTACCTGACCTCGAGGCTGTGTTGTTTCCCGCAGACCTCCAACACCAGCTCACCTCCTCCCTCTCGTGCCACCTTCTGCTCCCCGGCAGGAAGTGGTGGCTCACCGGATTGTTGAAAGCCACACTGCCATCCAGGAGATCTGCTTGTTGACCCTGAAAGCCGCCCACTGTGTGGACACCATAGGCAGCGCTGGAGCTAGGAAGGAGGTGAGGTCCCCCTGACCACCAACGGCAGAGCTGGGCATTTCAGGTCTCAGGGCACCTAGATGGCACTAGCAATAGTGGGAGACCCCAAGGCACCTGGTTGAAAGCTCCTACACGGTGGCCACTGGCCAGGTTTCCTTTCATGGGGCTGTTTTGGGGAATCCTTTTCAGTCCAGTTCCAGCTTTCTGGAGATTAGCAAGAAGGAACGGGGTTATCCTAGGCTTTGAGAGACCTGGGATTCATTGTACCTACTCTGCCACTTTTTTATAAGCCTTGTGGCCAAGGCCAAAGTATCTCATCCTTCTGCCTTTGGCCTGCGTTTCTTGTGGAGAGTGATGGAGATGGTGTGCACGGAATGTGCCATGCAGCCATAGTGAATGTGTCATGTAAGGTACCTCTCGTCCCCAGCCTTCTTGTGTCTCTGGTTTCTATGGAAAAAAATATAATCACTTACATTGCTAGGAGAAAACTGATTAGTGCAGCAAAGCCACTTGAACCTTTTGCAGTTTCTGAAGTGATGAGTATGAGTTATCAGCCAGCCGAAATCTCTCTGGCACCAAGGCAACTAAAAGTAAATGTCGTTGACTGGGACAAAGTATCTTTCCAGGTCTGTATTGAGTGCACAGCAGCAAACACCTTTGCTGGCTTCCACCTGAGATCCTGTGTTGGGGGGAAAGGTTCTTTGTGTCACTTCACAAGAACCTGCCCAGACAGTGTGCCCAAGAAAGGAGCATGTTGTGTGTATCCTGCAGATGGCAATGATCAAAGTGGCCACTCCAGGGGCCTCTGCAGAGTCACCAACCTGACTGGGCCATGCAGGTGGGTGGAGCTGCAGGTGGCTCCCAGGCTTATCCTCTGACTAACAAGTGAGTAGGTTTCATTGAAGAGCTTCTGCATCTGATAGGCCTGGTGATGAAACCCTCCAGCTACCTTGACAACACTACATGTTAAGAAATAAGAGCTACTAACTTGCTTCAAAGTGTAAGTGAAGTGATGGGGTTCTTTGATATGCAGCTCAGCACCCACACATAACCATCTTCTGTGACTACAATCAGCACCCGGCTCCACTGCATTACCCTGAAAGACAAAATTATTGAAAAGGCAAATGAGAGAGGTTTGAGGGATGGAGAGAGAGAGCTTTCTTCTGCTGGCTCATACCCAAAATCCCAAAAGCAGCCAGGGTGAGGCCAGGCTGTAGCCAGGAGCTTGGAACATCATATGGGTGGCAGGGACTCTTATGTGCGCCCTCAACTACTGCCTAGCAGGATGCGCATTAGCAGCAAATGAGCAACCAGAACACAGCCAGGACTGGAGCCCAGGATTCTGCCAAGGGATACATGCGTCCCGAGCAGTGGCTTAACTGCTGTGCCAAAGGCTCACCCTGACTGTGCTAACAGTAAGGGTACCACCACAGGTCTGCAACCCACAGGGAGGCAGCAGCTGAATCTGCAGCAGTCCATGGCAGTGAGCATCCATTACACAGATCTGAATCCCTGGAGGTGAGAAAGAACCTCCCCCCAAGCCCCAAACATCCCTCCATATGTTCTCGCAGTGCCACCTTCTCTATCACACTGGAGAGAATTGCCTGCCCATCAGTTTTTAACCTTAAGAACTGAAGATAGTTTCCCATCGTCACTGCCTGGGGCTTGCCTCAGGTCTTAATCCTAACCACCTCCAGGAACCTCCAGCAAACCAAGCATGAGGTGAACCCCGCTGTGCTTTGCCATTTAAGAGTCTGCTCTCCAAGCTGGGAGCTTGAGAACGGCATTTCAGAGGCCCTGGGGCTACTTTCCACAATTCCCCGAGTTCTTTTCCTCATCTGCCCTGGCTGGATGAATGTACTCTGGATCAGTGTTGACGCGCCCTGTTCCTCTTTAGTAACAGCCACCGTCCCTGCTCTGGATGCCTCCAGCTATGCCTTCATAAGAACCATGCGCTTGGTGGATGGACGAGATGAAGTTCACCTCTCGACAATCCCAAATGGGAGCTGCGAGACCAAGCCACAGGGTTGGCAGCCGAGAGGTAGGGAGAGCACAAAGCCTGCTTTAGACACCACTTCCATCTCCAGCCATTGCAGCTAGTTGTGGAGTGAACCTTTGGTTGGAAGACCTCTTGCTCTCTGCTTCTCCTCTCTCTGTGTAACTGACTTTCAAATAAAAATAAATAATTCTTAAAAAAATAAAATAAAACCACCTCAGATGATCACAAAATCCCGCAGCCATTGTTAGAGTCCCCAGGGACCTCCAAGGAGCCACCCAGGAAATGGGGGCAGAGATGGCTGGGTCCTGGCAGGCAGGTTCTTTCCCGGCTTAAGATCAGAGATGCACACAGACAGCACTGCACAGGGCTGGTGCTCAAGTTCCTGTTGGCTTTGCACACCATGCGTGAGCCTCTGGCTCAAGTAGACTATTCTGCCCACAGTCTTCTTTGCACAGATCCGTGTTCACACTTTGAATGGTGTGTAGAGTTATGACAATGAATTTTCCCATATTTAACGCCATAAGAAGCACAAGCCTCTACAATGCCACTGAGAGCCAGCACTATGGATCCTGCCCTGCCTCGGGGCCACCCTCACTTTCTGGGACCCCCAAGAAGGCGGCTCCATGCTTCTCATTCCCATTCCTCTGTGCATGGAATTCCAGCAGACAGACCTAGGCCACACACAGCAGCGTGCTGTGACCCCTGCGCTGTCACGTGGGGAGGGGAGAGCACAGCAGGGCGGAGCGGCTCCGTCTCCTGCCTTCTGCCCCTTCCCTCACCTTTTCCTTGCCTTCGCCTCATCGTTTCCGAGCCCCCGCAGACAGGAGCGATGAATGCCTCCCTGCCCAGGCCTGAGGAGGAAACTCCTGATGGTGTCAAAATGGTCACTGTTTTACAATACACATCTCTTAAGATGGATGAACTCTTTCTTTTTTAAACATCACAACTGCTGTGAAGGATGTAGAACAGGATTTCTCACTCATTGCTGGTGGATGCATGAGAGCTCACTACTCTGGTGAACAGTCTGGCCGTTTTCCAAAATTAAACACGGTCTCAGATATTCCCACACTCACCATTCTAAGAATTGAGGCCACAGCCTTGAAGAGGGTGTCCAAGTCACAGCATGGCACTATGTCAGCAGTTCAACTCATACTGGGGGCTATCACTGGGCCCTCCTACACATGAACAGAGAAAACTGTGTCCACACAGGCATCTGAGGATAGGATGAAGGGATGGATGCCCTCTGTGTCTGTCCCTCTGCTACCCAAACAAATTTTGAATACACAAACACACCCCACCCTCCCTCCCAAGGTTGAGTAGGCAGGTGAGTTTGGCATTGTTCAAATGGATGGGAAAAGCAGCAGTGGAACAGTCACCCTTTGGGAAGCCTCACTGCACAGAACGCACGAGATTGACTCCCTGACCTATCACTGCCTGAGTGACAGACCCTCTCACTCTGAATCCATGAGCATTTCTGAATGGCTTCCTCCAATCAGGGTACTCACAACCACCCTGTTCAAACATGCATTGGACGGCAAGAGCTCCGTGCACGTCAGGGCACGCTGAGGCCTCTGTTCTTGATTTAGGGTAAAGCTCTGTAACTCACTGTGCTGGAGAACAAAGCAACCCCTGCTCATCCCTCCTGAGGGGGACTGGCTCACAAAGGGCAGCTCAGCCCAGGCTGCCCCATACAGCACAAGGAGGGGTCTGGCTCTGCAGAGGCCTGAGCATCAGGCCCTGGGTGTGACACAGGTGACAAGACCACCCACCTTCCACCAGCACAGCAGGAGATGCTCCAGGGGCCTGACACTGATCATGAACATCCTCCCCGACAGGGCCCACACAGGTGCAGAGTTAGGAGGGGCCAGTATTAGACATTGACCCAGGTCACTCACTGGTCCAAGAGGCCATGAGGAAGGGCTCATGGATTTGGAGCCAGGGAGCAGAGTGAGGGGAGGGGAAATGGGAGGGAAGGGGTCCTGTGCAGTGAGTGGGAATGGAAGCCATCAGAGCGAAGGGGATCAGAGGGACAGCAGGAACTGCTGCTTGGCACAACGTTACTGGTCTCTGAGCAGGGTCACCATGTGACCAATGTGTGACTGACTCCTGAGGGCAGGTGCACAGACCACATGCACAGGAATATTCCTAGCAGCCGTATCCATAGTAACCCCAAATAAGAACAACCAAACACATTCCCACGGGGGCCTGGCTAAGTCAACTGGAGTTAGCCACACTGAGTATGGCTGAAGAATGCTAGAAATGAAGCATCAGTGACGAGGGTGGAAGAACGGAAGCAGGACTTCTCCATGGGCAGAGGTGGACAGGGAGGGTGCAGCAGGCCCAGTCCTTCCCTACCACATGAGGTGCTCAAGTGAGTCTGAGACTCGGAGTGAGAGATGCACGCTCCAGCTGCTGCCTCTCATTCAGTCTCCTTGCAGTCTTCTTCATGGTCTTTTATTTCTCTTTTTTTAATCTATTCTTCCTTTTTTGGCAAAATAAAATCAGAATTCATCTAGGATTTTATGGGAAGAACTGCTGCTCCAGCTGCCCTGCTTCTGATTAGAACCAAGCAGCATGGATCCGAGCAGGTGTGTTTCCATTGGCAAAGGCACTGGGCAAGATCCCATGGGTTTTCTGCCTGGCTACATCACCACCAAGAAACGATAAAGTGATAGATATTTTAATTATCTCCCACATAGGAGGATATCCAAGATGGCCAGATAGTGTATAGCCATGCTGACTTCCGACTTCAGCTACCTAGGATATGAAAAGAACAAAAAAGTGCCATGTTTCTTAAAAGAGACAAACATCCAGATACAAGAAGTTCAAAGGACCCCAACCCAGAGACGATTTTATCCAAGGCACATTACAGTCACATTCTCAAAATACAGGGACAAGGAGAGAAGTCTTAAGATTCTAAGAGAAAAGTAACAAATCACCCAGTGAAAAAATCAAAAAAGACACATCAGGGACTGGTGCTGTGGAATAGTGGGAAAGCTGCTTCCTGAAGTGCCAGCATCCCATAAGGGCACCAGTTCGAGCCCTGGTTGCTCCAGTTCCAATCCAGCTCCCTGCTATGGCCTGGGAAAGCAGTAGAAGATGGCCCAAGTCCTTGGGCCCCTGCACCCACGTGGGAGACCCAGAAGAAGCTACTGGCATCCTGGCTTCAGATCTATCCAGCTCAGCATTGTGGCCATCTGGGGAGTGAACCAGTGGATGGAAGACCCCCCCGCCACACACACACCTCTATAACTCTGTCTTTCAAATAATAAATCTTTTTTAAAAAAAGATAGATTGGAGTTACAGCATGGTACTGATATCTTCTTGGTCTTTGGCTAAGATCCAGTGAAACACAGTGTTGAGCAAATGGACTGAACAGACATTTGGAGGACATTTCACTCAACAGCTGCTGAATACTCATTCTTGTCATCAGTGAAGACGTTTTCTAGGATGGAAATCAAGTCTCAGTAAATTCTAGAAGACTGAAATCATACCATAGGGGGGTCACTGTGGCACAGTTGCTAAGTCTCTGCCTGTGGTGCAGACATCCCATATGGGCACCGGTTTGAGTCCTAGCCACTCCTCTTCTGATACAGCTCTCTGCTGTGGCCTGGGAAAGCAGTGGAGGATGGCCCAAGTCCTTGGGCCCCCTGCACCCACGTGGGAGACTCAAAAGACTCTCCTGGCTCTGGCTTTGGATCAGCCCAGCTCCAGCTATTGTGCCATTTGGGGAGTGAACCAGTGGATGGAAGACTTTCTGTTTTGCCCTCTCCCTGTCTATAACTCTGCCTCTCAAATAAATGAAATCATACCAGGTATGTTCTCAGACCACAAAGGAATAAAAGTAGAAGTCAGCAACATGAACATGGCATTTGTAAATACATGAAAATTACACATGCTTCTGAAATATCAATAGGTCACTGAAGAAATGAATAATGAAGTGAAAAACTTCCTTGAAATTTACGAGAATCAAAACACAACATATGAAACCCCATGGATATAGCAAAGTTATTATGGAAACATGAGACCCCAAAACAGCTAAAGCAATCTAAGCATTCTTAAAAAGTAAAAATAAAGCTTAAGGCATTACAATACCAGATTCAAGACATATTACAGAGCGGTTACAAGCAAAACACCCCATTACTGCCATAACAATAGCATGTGGATGAATATAACACATCAGAACCCACAAATTAATCACGCATCCACAGCCAACTAATCTTTGGCAAATGAGATAAAATCACTCCCTGGAAAAGGACAGGCTCTTCAAAACTGATGTTGGTAAAATTGGATCTCTGCATGTGGAAGTGTGAAACAAGACCCATACCTTACATCCTATACAAAACCAACCACAATGGATCCATGATCTAAACCTAACACCTGGAACCAGCAAATCACTAGCAGAAAACATAGGAGATATATGGCAAGGCATTGGCATACAGGACTTCTTAGATAAGACTCCAGAAGCACTGGAAATAAAAATCAAATATAGACAAATGGGGTTACATCAAACTAAGGAGCTTCATGAAGCATAGCAATGACTCACTCAACAAAGTGAAGAAGCAACTGGCACAATCAGAGAAAATATCACTATACCTGTGATAGAGGATGAATTCTAGAATATGTAATGAGCTCAGGAACTCAACAAAAAACAAAGCATTCCAGTTAAGAAACAGGCTAAGGGATTAGCAGGCATTTTTTGAAGGATGAAGCACAAACAGCCAATAGATACAGGAAGGATGCTTAGGCTCACCAACTATCAGGAAAACAGAAATAAAAGCCACTGTGTGGTTTTACCTCATCTCAGGCAAAGTGGCCATCATCCCACAACCAAAACATAACAAATGCTGGCGAGGATGTGGAGAAAAACATATCCCAACACACTGGTGGATGGAATGTTATCTATCTCAACCATTATGAAATACAGTACAGTGATTCCTCACAATTTTTTAATTTTTAAGCTTTTATTCAGTGGGAGAAATGTATAGGAACATGAGATCCCTATCTAAAAGAGAAATCTGGGTTCATACCTTCCTCACAACTTTTAAAACCGAACAACCACATTGCCCAGTAATTCCATTAATGGGAAGTTACACAAAGGATAAGAAATTTGCACATAAAAAATTTCTGTACCCCTGCATTTGTAGCAGCTCAACTCACAATAGCTAACATATGGAAGCAATCCAGATTCCCATCATTTGATGATTGCACAAAGAAAATAAAATGTGAGATATATGTATGTATGTATATGTATACATAATGAGATGTTATACATAATATATGTAATAGAATGCTGCTCAGCCATAAAAAAGAATGAAACCTTGTTTTATGCAACAAAATGGATACAACTGGCAACCATTACTAGTGACATAAGCCAGTCACCAAAAGGCAAATTTGTGTTTTCTCCAATCTGTGACGGTTAATACACAGAATACAAAAAATTAATGGTTTCACCCATATACAACATCTGGAGATCTGATTATTGTTATAGAGTTTGTACATACACTTAAGAAACAGTAGACTTTCTACTTCTACTTGGATCATTAAAATGTCTACACTGTCAAAACCAATCTACAGATTCAATACAACCCCCATCAAATACCATACTGGGGGACAGTGCTCTGGTGCAGGGCGGTTAAAGCACCTGGCCTGAAGTGCCGGCATCCCATATGGCCACCAGTTCTAGTCCCGGCTGCTCCTCTTCCAATCCATCTCTGCTATGGCCTGAGAAGCAGTAGAAGAGACTCAAGTACTTGGGCCCCTGCACCCATGTGGGAGACCCAGAAGCAGCTCCTGGCTTCGGACTGGGCACCAGCTCCAGCTGTTGTGGCCATCTGGGAGTGAACCAGCAGATGGCAGAACTCTCTGTCTCTACCTCTTTCTGTAACTCTTTCAATAAATACATATATCTTAAAAAAATACCATTATTTTCAGAATTAGAAAAAAAAACCCTAAAATCTATATGGAATCACAAAAATAACCAGGATAACCAAACTGATTGCTTAGCAAGAAAAAAAAAATCCATCTGGATGTATCACAGTATCTTGATTTCAAGGCATACTACAAAGTTGGAGTAACTAAAAGACATGATATTGGCATAAAACTGATGCTGAATAGAGATCCCAGAAATTAATCCACATTAATGCAGCCAAAAGTGCTCTTATCATACATGGTGATGGCAAACCTGGATGTAACAGAATGAAATGAGACACAAACCTCTGATCATATACAAAATGGAGTGAAGATGCAGCAAAGACCAAATTTTACACCTGAGACTATGAAGTTACTTGAAGAAAATGTAGGGAAACACTCCAAGACACGGTGTAGGTGATAATCTCTTGGATAGACACCCAAAGCACAGGCAATAGAAGCAACATAAGCACATGGAATATATCAAACTCAGAAGGTTTTCACAGCAAAAGAATGATACATAGCGTGCAGAGACAGCCAACAGAGGTGGGAAAAATGTTTTGGGTGCTGCCTAGCTGACAAAAGATAATATATCAGAAGATATCAACTTAAAAAACAACAAAAATTGCCTGCCAGTGAAGAATGGACAAAAGACATCAATAGAGAGTTTGACAGAAAACAAATGGCCAACATACATGAAAAACTATTCCACATCACTCAATGTCAGGTAAATGCAAATCCAAAACACAATCAGATATCCCATCACCCCTCAGAATGACTGAAACACAAAGCCCCAGAGTAACAAATGCTGGGGAGGATGTTGCTCAATGCAAACATTTTATACACAGTTGGTGGGAGTGCAGCCACTGTGCAAAATAGATGGAAACATCTTTTAAAAGTAGAAAAGAATTTCATATGAGCCAGCAATCCCTTTCTGATAGTGTTGTATTAAAAACATACCAGCACCACCATGTTTATAGCAGCA